CATTCATTTTCGATGCATCTCTTCCCATACAATGAAACTGAATGGTGACTGAACCTGTCATTCTGCTTCACATCTCCTTTTGCGCTCCACAGAAGAAAATGAACAACATGAGGGTGTGTAAATGATGACAGAACTTTAGTTTTCGAGTAAACTTTCCCTTTAAACCAGACTTTGCGACGGCTTAAGTGGACGTCATAATAAATAATAAATAGCCTATTTTCTGTTCTGTTAATCATTCAGGCACATTTATATAAATTTGACTATAATAAACAACAAATTAACCATACAAGAGACAAACAATTGATACATTGGGAAGAACTAGTTTAGATGCGGCACTTACTGTCGTGTCTTCGCCTCAAGTCGTTTACATCAGCGACTGCCAAACTCATTATGAATGTCCGCAGACCGCCTCAAATCAATACGGTCGACTTTCCGTGTCTTTTGGGAATGTTCGAAGATATCCTTTTAACTAGTTTGACAAAAAATAATCAAAAGCGTCTGAAGAGAAACGCTCGGAACGGAGCGCGTGTACCTGCTGTGGTCTCATTTACGACCACGAGACCTACAATCTGCCAACCTCCGGTACACAGAGCCCTGCAATGCTGCAACAGTGCTGCTGATAATCCACTTTTGGACGTGCTGAACTGATACTATATTGAGAGTGAAGGGAATGTAAGATTTAAACGTTGCTGTTGTTTTAGCCAGTTGCATAGCTGTAAAAATAAATAAATTAAATGCAGTCACAAGATAACACTGATTTGGATTCATTGAAACACTGTAAACATTTAGCTTAAATATACAGAATAATGATGAAATAAAACAAGCATTTTTTAACGTATTGATAGATATTAGATTTACATTATTTTGTTTGATTTATATTAGCCCATTTAACCCTAAATTTGAGTTCAAAAACTGAGGTGCATAAGCTCATCATGTGCTAATAGAAAGAAAACAAGTTGACAAAAAAGATCATATTTATTTAATATTTCTCCGATAATATTGCATAATGAGAGATTTACAACCAATTTTTAAAAGGCTGGTCAAATTAGGGAAAGGATTTTCACTAGTGCTGTCAAATAATTAATCGCATCCAAAATAAAAGTTTTTGTTTAAAAAAAAAACAATTAAATATGCATGTGTTTGTATTTATATGTACATAATAAATATAGACAGTATGCACACATATATTATGTAAACCAAAACTTTTATTTTGGATGCGATTGATCGCGATTAATCGTTTGACAGCACTAATTTTCACAGAACAAGAGTTCAATTGTTTTGTCTGTGACATGCTGCTTTGCATTCTTTGCTGCCTTCTTAGATCACTTTTTTTCCCCTAGCATCTCAACAAGTTGTTATCCTGCAGGTACAACCAACAAAAATAACGAATTTAGAGAGCACCCAGATAGTAAAGCACAGATCAAAATGCATCTTCACAGTTATTCAAAGTGAAAACCAGTTTAAACCAGCCTTGCTTTTTGGTTTTAGCTGGATTATGTTGTTTAACCCACAAAACTAATGCTAATCCCAGTTCCACACACACTTAGACACCATGTGGCCCATCATTGCAATAATGTTATCTGTTATCTTTTTAAAGTATATTTTATTTTGTCCTACCAGTGCTGTTAGTCACTGATCTGCAAATTTACACTTTAATGTTCCAGTATTTTTCGACTTAAACTTAGTCACATGCAGATCTAATCAGCTGGTTTGAAACAATGGCACAGAAAAGCCAAATTACCCTGAGTTTTCTTCACTCTCGCTCTTTCTCAGTCCTCAAAGAGAAATAGAAATACATTCTTTTTTTTCCAAGATCCCTTTTCACTTGTTTTCAGGAAACAATTCTTATTATGCAATAGCTATCATCTGTTTTCCTGCAAACAGAGTTATAAATCAATAGCAAAACCGAAAGTTGAATGGCAAAACACAATAATAAGAGCCTTATGAGATACCGTACATTGGCCTCTCTTTTTGCCCCTCGGCCATACAAATCACTCATGATTAATCATCATGTGTCCCAGTATTAGACAGTAAATCATTATATATCTAAGCAGGGTTGTTGTTCAAACCTGCAAGTGTGTTTCAAAATGTTTTCGTCAGGGCAATTGTGTTACTGCCCCTTTTTTGGACATCTGGTAGTGCTTAAATGTGAGTATAAAGCAGAGATGAAGTGCACTTGGACTGCAGAAAGCAGCAGGATGAAGAGTAATGTGCAGCTAGGGCTGTTGTGTCTCAGCCTGCTCATCTTCAGTCTTCATGGAGAAGTTGTCGAGACAGAATCGAGCAAACAAGTCCCCCCCTATTTCGAAGAGCCGGATCTTCATCAGCTTGAGGTGAGTGATGACTTTGCTGGAAATGCTTCTAATGAGGTCAATCACACTGGGGTGAGAAGGACATTTAAGGGGCATATTTCTTGTGGCATGAATATCCCTAAATATAGTTCATGACTTTTGCAAAGTGAATCAAGGTGACTGCATGAATGGCTTATTTGTAACCTAATTCCATTAGTAATTTTGCCTTAAATACTGTCATTATTAAGCATTTGAACATTTTTGACTGAGGTAATGATAAACAATAGTTGCTGTGAATCCTTTCAGGACTCTGAGATCATTTCAACGATATACACAGCACGTCCAAGCATCACTGATACCATTCTGCAGATATTATGGAAGGCCTATTGGTGCTTAAACAGAAAAATGATCTATGTATGATTTTTAAATGTTTATGTTTGTGTGAGAATTTTGCTTACTTTGAGCCATTTATCTTTTAACAATCCTTTTGCAAGATGTACAGAGTACGACGACAGACGGTCTCCACAGAGAAGGAAAATCCAGCAAGAACAGTAGCTGTTTTGCCACCAAGTGTAAGTACACATCTAATAAAGTAACATGTGCCTTTGCGCAATCTTCTGAGATGATTTTTTCCAGCTGCAGCTTTTTCAAAATGTAATAAGCCTATGGGGTTTGGATGATAATCAAGCCATAATTAAGCTTTCTCTTTGATAACCATTAAAATGCCAGTGGTCCTGCTTGTCACAAATAACTACACAAAGATTTCATCTGCCAAAAATATAATCTGCAGCTTGCAGCAGTAGCTATCTGTCCTCATAACTGTTCCACAATGCCATAGATATGTAAAATGTATCACCAGAAATTTTATGTTTTCAATCTTTGTTATATACCTGCAGGAGAACCGCAAGACTAAGAGAACACGGCCACATCCAGGAGGTCTCACTCCTTTAGGAGAACCAACGGTATTCACTGTCCTGTCAGTTCATTAAATAAAATATAGGCTGTACTGTAAATGGAGAAAAATGTTGAGTTGTAGACTATTATCAACACACGCTCCACCAGTTATGTGATTTTTATATAAAAAAAATATATCGACTTGCTTTACACTGAACTCATCATTTGGTTTTCTCAGATATACGTCAATCACCGCACCAAGAGACAGGAAAAAAGCAAGAATAACAAAAGGAAAATACGTCCCGGAAGTCAGAGCCTTTTAGTAAGCAGTGAAGTTTTACCCGTATTCACTATCCTCTGATCAGCCTGCCAGCGCGCCATTTAAACATATTCATAGTAATTTTATATTAAAGAAATAGACTGACTTGCTTTACTTGAACTCATCATTTGCCTACCTCAATTAAAGCGGCCCCAGCAGACTGCCAATGTCAAGAGGGATGACGAATGAAAAAGTTAAAGCATTATATGCGTTCAAGGCTCCTTCCCAGGTAACATGTTGCAACGTATTTACATAATATGAAGGGGAAAAAATGGTACTAAACATACATTATTGTGGGTTCTCTCCTTACAGGTTCCCTGAATCAGGAAAAAAGGAATATATCACCATGTTTCATAAAGAGGGTTTCAGGCTCAGGTTCTGCTTGTGATAATCATTTATATTTCTATAGCTTTTCTTTTCCACGTATATTTTGGTTAAGTAATAATCTCTATGGAAAATAAAATGTATTTACTGAATTCTCCCCCGTGTGTATTTCGTATTCGCATCACTAGGGGGCAATGTTTACCCAAGAGATGAGCGCTCAAACCAGCTTGGCTTCTGTTTAAACGAAATGTTTGATATCTGTTTATCTTCATCTATTAATTACAATAAAGCATTTGTCTTGAAATGTCACTCTTTTATTGTGTGGAAAACACTGTAGTCGACGAATGGCTTTCTATAAAGTTTTGGCTGTACTGCGTTTTTTTGTGTTGATACTGTCAAGCATAAACAGTCTATGTGTTGACAGATTCTGTGAGATATAAACTGCATAACTATCACTCCTCTTTAGTATTTGAGTAGTTCTGCCAGTTAAATGTGCCAGAAATTATCCTGAAAAGGCATACAAAATGGTAGGCCTATGTTTTGTGCCAGGAATTTGTCAAAACACATTGGCGGTCCAAAGCAAAGAGAAAAGCAACACCCCTTCTTCCTTATCTGCATAATCCTTGATAATAACATAAAACTATTTCCTACACGTTTCACGCTGTTGTTATTTAAGAATCTAAAATGTTCCGGGAAAAAAAAAAACCTTTTATATGAGATGGCCAATGTAATAACATCGCTTCACACATGAGCCCCAAAAAAGTAACCACAAGCAACCATGCAAAAGCAACAATTTGCACTTACACAGGTATGTAAAATGTAAGTAGTGCAGATGTAAGCCAGAAAATTAAATACAATTAAATATAAAATGAAATAAAATAAAACCAGTTTTAAATAAAATCAAGTGTGCACAAATTATTTTAAATAAATACTTACTCAAAGAAACTTTAAGTCAAATCAATATGTTGTGGCTGTGCATAACATTTATGTGATGTGCTCTCTGATAATCTTTTAAAAAAGACTTTAGAAGCATTTTTGTGGACAGCTGCTGGAACCACATATAAGAACAGATACGTTCACCGAATGTTTAGGTGTGGGAGCAAAGCTCTGCATGCATGAGTCACAGTAAACAGACTCTGTTCTCACAAGAAGAGCAGACAGAAACACTACTCTGCCTTCAGGCAAAACCCTGAGTCTTTCAAGGTAAGAAAAGCATGGCATTATCAGTTTTAGAAGATTATTTATTTTTTGTTAGAAGTTTAATATGATCCAGATGTTAGCTGCTGAATTTGCACACAGTTTGGGAGATAAGTCTTGAACAGTACTCATGCAATTACATCTAATGCGAACATTAAGATACACTGCCATGAACTGTACTAAAATGTGCATATCTGCTATTTGAAAATAATTAAAGGAACGTTTTGTTTTTAACTGATTAACGTTATATATATATATGTTCCAAATTACTGAAAACAACATGTTTGGGTTCAAGCAGGACTGAAATAACACTCATTTATAGTCTTTGAATAATTTATAGTATGATATCAAAGCTGTTTGATTTGTGAAAACATTTTTGCTGGAATGAGTGCTTAAGATTTAAATGTATAAAAAATCATGGAAATACATTCATGTGACTTTTTATTTATTTGAAGAAAAAAAAACATTGCACTTCTCTGGAAGAGGGAGTGTTCATAGAGAAACTTTAAAGTTTATGACTTTAGCAAATGTTGGATTACACAGGAAATCTGGAAAGGATTTACAATGTTTAACTGATATGCATCTCTACTTTCGGTTTATCTGTGATTTTAAGCATGCATAGAAAAGGGCATTTGATAAAAGCGGAGAGGGAATGTTCGGAATGAAAGTGCTGTTACACGCCTGTGGCAATAAAACATCCTGTATGGTAGCCATCTGCTCTCTCTCTGCTTTTTTGGAAGAAAATAGATCAACTCCTTATCTGTAAATCTGAGAATGCTTGATCATTTCCATGTCTCTTTGCATATAAAAATCTAAAAGCTTTCAAACAAACCATTGTTTTTCTTTTCAGAGCTTTAGAAGAAGAATGGAGACCTCAGAGGAACACTATTACGACTACCCTGAGTACGAAAACTACAGCTCCAACTTCAGCTACGATGACTATCAAACCATCTGTGAGAAGGGCGATGTGCGCTCCTTCGTGAGGATCTTCCTCCCAGCTGTTCTTGTGTTATCTCTAGTGATTGGTTTAGCAGGCAACGCTCTGGTTGTGGAGGTGTATGCATACTGCAAGCAACTGAAAACGATGACTGACACATTTATACTTCACCTGGCTGTGGCAGACCTGTTGCTGCTCCTAACGTTGCCCTTCTGGGCTGCTGATGCTATCCATGGCTGGGAACTCGGGGTCACCGTCTGTAAACTCGTATCTGCCCTCTACACCATTAACTTCACCTGTAGCATGATGCTGCTGGCCCACATCAGCATGGATCAGTACTTGGCTTTGACACCAGGAGCCAGAAGCACAGGCATTACGCGTGCTTTTCAAAAGAAGCATTGTAAAAAACTCTGTTTGGTGGTCTGGACCATTGCGTTTTTTCTTGGCGTCCCTGATTTGGTGTTTTCAACAGCCAGAGAGCTTCCTCATAAAAAAAGCTGCATCGCCATGTATCCATCGGGCATGGCTCTCAAGGCTAAAGCTAGTTTGGAAGTGGTGGAGGTCGTAATAGGCTTCTTGCTACCTTTATTTGTGATGTTGTTCTGCTACACCTTTGTAGGCCGAGCCCTACTGAAGCTCCCTCAGGAGAGGAGATGGAGGAAGTGGAGGTCCCTCCGTGTGCTGCTGGTGATGGTGGGAGTCTTTGTGGTCACACAGCTGCCCTACAACGTGGTCAAGTTCTGCCGGGCCATGGACATCATGTACACATTTGTGACTCACTGTGGGGTTAGTAAAGAGCTGGACAGGGCTACTCGGGTCACTGAGAGTCTGGCACTGACACACTGCTGTCTGAATCCTGTTCTGTACACTTTCGTCGGTTCCTCCTTCAGACAGCATGTATTGAAGTGTGCCAAAGACTTTGGAGACAGGGGGAGGAGGTTGGCACGTGTGGGAGAGCAACAAGAAGTGGATATCTCCTTGAATTCTCATTCACAGTCCCAAGAGACCAGCACTTTTTCCATTTGAGCAAACTAGAGTAGATGTTTACCAGTCTGTGGAGCTTTGCACCATCTGCCCCTTTGCAAAATATGTACACACAAAGTGATAGCGCAGGGATTTATTTCTTAGTCAAGACATAAGGCAGTATTTTTACCAGAAGAGTAAAATTCAAATTGAAGTAAAAGCTGAGATGCAAAATGTCGATAGTTGCGTTACAAAGTCCCTTTTCTATAGTCTTTGGTCAATATGAAACAAACGGAAAAAGAACAAGTCCGCGAAGTGATACGAGAGATATGTAAATAGCGCCGGACTACTAGCGGACTGATGGTGAGTTCAAGTCCTACTTTACGCATAACTTTGGTTGAAGCAAGATGGCAAGATGGCCATGGCTTTTTTTTTTTTTTGCTGCATTATTCAACAAGATTTTACCTGTACATCTACAAAATGATTAATAGAGAAGAGTTTCCACTCGTAGGCTAAATGACTTTTGTGGTGCGACGTCTGTATATTTAATACTAAAATAAATAAACAAAAAAACAAAAACAAAAACAAAACAAAAAATATATATATATATATTAATGCTGTCAAACGATTAATTGCGATTAATCGCATCCAAACTAAAAGTTTTTGTTCACATAGTATATGTGTGTGTACTGTGTATATTTATTATGTATATATAAACACACACCCATGCATGTATATATTTAAGAAAAATATGTTACGATTATATATTAAATATATTTATATATAATATAAACTATATTGAATATAAATATATTCATGTTAATACATGTAAATATTTTCAAAATATATACTGTATGTGTGTGTATTTATATATACATAATAAATATACACAGTACACACAGATATATTACGTAAATAAAAACTTTTAATTTGGATGCGATTAATCGCAATTAATCGTTTGACAGCACTAATATATATATATATATACTGTCGTATTTTTTGATGCAATTTTTTATAGTTTTAATGTACATGACAAAAATTATAATTTAATTAATTGAAACAAATTTACCATCAATACAGATGCTGCATCCATTGTGTCTGATGTTTTCTCACTATGTGCTGGGGATAGAAAATAAAAAAATAAAAATAAAACCGGTAAAACCAGCCTATGTTGGTTGGCTGGTCTTAGCTCGTTTTAGCTGGTTGGTGGTCACAAGCCCTCTAAACCAGCCAGGCTAGGCTGATTTCAGCTGTTTTTATTCAGCACACTTCTAACTCGGAAACTCAGGGTTTAAATAAAGTTCTGAGTTTCCCGCTTGTAATTATGACTTTGTCATGGCATTCATGTGCATTTAACTCATAAATACGTTACTTCAGAGATTACTTATGTTCTGAAGAATTTGAGAAGAACCAGAGCAGCAGTCTTGGCAAATTGCTATGGGTCACAGATGTGACATAGCATTTGTATTAACACCAGCTGCAGAATCCAAACAAACATTTCAAATGAAATCCATCGGACTTTTCACTATACTCATAGAAGCCCAGATGTTTTGTTTCTCAAAAGATGCTTCAGCAAGGAATGCAAATAGAATATGCATTTAAAAGCAAGTATGATTTGACTAGTTTTTAAAATAAGAGTTTTGAAAAGACATATACAGTATAATAGATGTATTCATACAATAGTTAAATGGCATACTCTTACCTTGCTTTTATTTTTATTCTTTGTGAATAATGTTCCTGAGATAACTGAAAAAAAATAAAATTGACAATTCTAAAATGTGTAAAATATAGTAGGCCTAGTTGTGACCGAACCTTTGACTGTACATACTGATATAGAGGTAATAAATCTAAATATACTTATAAAGTACAATGGCCTTTAGAGAGAGACAAGATTGTTTCTAAATCTAACCCTTTTTTAACCCTGTGCTAAAAAGATCGATCAGAGGGGAGGGGACATATTCAAGATTGTGCACAAAAAACTTTAAGTAAAGTTTTGATCACATTGGAAAATTAGAGGCCTTAGAAATTCATGTATGCAATATGATACAGTAGGATTTATAGGGTTAAACAATTTGTAAAACTGTCCTTTACTCTCCTGTATATAAATGTCACTGTCCTTTAAACCTTCTGGTTTGTTAAGGTCACAAAATTTGGTATATTTAAAAGCATTTTTAAAAAAATGCTCCTTAAAAATACCAATGCTGTATGCGAAATTACCAGTAAAAGAAAGATGCAGAGCTGCTGTAGACTGAAAATAAACTGAGGCCTTGAGCCACTTCATGAAATGAAGAGATTGTGACACAACCCAAAAGAATGCTTCATGTGTGATATATTGCAGTGTTACAAAAAAAAATAGGTTTCTTCTCCAAGACTAGATTCCACACAAAACCAAAATGATCACAATACTTGAGCAATAGCAAGTGTTTTTTTATATAAAACTTTGGTTAAAAAAGTGCAACAGAACAAAAACATTGCTCTTTTGATTAGAAAACCTATACAGAGAAAATAAAGTTACTTACAGTAATAGAAAAAAACCTGCGTAAGGCACAATCTTGTGGAATGTATAAACAAAGATTATCCAAGGCAGTTTAACATCTTCCTGTCCTCCGATTCAAAAACACTACATTTCAAATTATATTCGTTCACTTTTTAAATTAGGTAGGATTGCCTCTACACAAACAATAAAAAACAAATGAGCTTTTCACAACAAGGTGAACAGCAAAGTGATATTCCAACATGGCAGTCAGTAACAAAGACAAACAATAACTCAATATAAATACACACAGATGAGTGTCACAGTGTTTCTATCAATGGACTTCAAAACAACCAACATACAAATAGTTAGTGTTGTGATTAAATAGTTAGACACACAATTGAGCCATTCAAATGAAAGTGTGTGTGCTGTTAAATTATATTATACGTTTTCATGTCAAATTGTAGAGCTCCAGCTTACAATATGTGATAAGATAAAGTTAGAACTGTTTATAACGTATTGTGAATAATAAGACAGGATGGCACAGAAAGGACAAGAATAATGAACAAAGAGATGATCGTAAGGCACATGTTCCAACAAGTGTACAGCCAAAACTTAGTGTGTCATGTTTGGGTGGTTTTAATTCCGCAGATTACATTCAACTGCCCTCCATTCACCCCAGTGAATTACACCATCACTCATTAGGAACAATGAGCGAAGTCACAAAACTGAAACAAACTAATAACTGTATCAAACAAAAAGACAACAGACACACACAAGTGTCTAAAGTACAGGTGGGAGGGGTTTATCTTTCCTGTCTGTTCCTCTGAAACATTAGTCAGTTGAGGGCAGACAGGACAACACTGTTAAGGACTTAAGAACCCAAGCGAAGGATGAAATGTAAATGAATGTGAAACTGAGTGCAAGCCAAGGTTCAAGGAGCGGACGCTGAGGCAGGAATGCAGCCGTTGGCAGTGGTGGTGGTGGGGGCTCATTACCTCCGCTTTTGTCCTATGAAAGCAAGTGTGGACCGGTGTGGCATGAATCATGCTTTAATAATTAAGAATCTGCACATCAAAAAGGTCACAGACTCCCTCGTTGTCATCAAGGTTGAAATTGTAATCCACACCAGGGTTGGGTGAAAGCCTTAACAGGGGGAAAACTACCGGGGTCGAACACACACACACACAAAAAAGTTACACAGAGTGCAGATTGGGGTTTATCCAAAATACATTAACTAAGGAACTAACTAACTAAATAAATAAGAGATATACAGTACTGTTAAAACTTTTGGGGGTCAAAAAGATGTTTTTGAAGCTCTTATGCTCACCAAGGCTGCATTTATGTGTTCCAGTAAATGAAATTCTCAAAAAATGAAATGAAATTCTCATAGCTTGTAAATCAGTGGTTCTCAACCTTTTTTCACTCCAAGGCCCCCCTCCTAACCGAATCAATACTGAAATACTACATTTTTTAGGATTCTTTGATGAATAGAAAGCAAAAAAAGAAAGAAAGTCTTCACTGTCATTTTTGAAAAAATACTGACCCAAAACTTGGCTGTAGTGTATTTTGTGTGTGTGTGTATATATATGTATGTATGTATATAAGGGCCTTTCGCACCGCAGGAACCTTTTCATAGTACCAGAACTAATTGTGGAACTACCCACTTTTTGCCGTTTTCGCACCGCCGGGACTGGGAGTGATTTTAGTACCGGACTGCCTTTTTCGAGAACCAAATAAATTCCTACTCCCGAGCAGGGTCTAACCAGCACAACTGGTACTAATCGTGACGTAAGTAGACAATGATTGGCCAAACGCGTACGAAAACGCCCTCACCCACCATGATTTTTAACGCCGTGTAAACATACTGTAAACATTGTGTCAACTTATTTCGCAAGTATGGAGAACAGCGATAGATGGACGGACGCTGAAGGGCAGGCACTTGTAGCAAATGTAGCACTGCCAGTTGTCATTGGAGATTCTTAGTCCTCCTTTCCGTTCTTTCAATCGCTTTACGTATACGGCAACTTTCCATCTCCATTATTGTAAAACCCGCGAGACAACAAAAACACAGCGCCGATCACAGCGTCCTCCATCCTCCTGTTGTTAATGTTGTTTTTCTTTGTTTTCGTTGTTGAACGCCGCGCACAAATGACGTCGCTGTCGACCGGTTCCTAGTACACACTCTCGGTGCGAATGCAACCCTTTAAATAGTACTGGGAAATAGTTCGCGCAAAATCGTCCCAGTACTTTAGTACTGTCCATTTAGTTCTGGAACTAAAGCGGTGCGAAAGGCCCTATATATATAACTAGATATGCATACAGATTCTTTTGGTGATTATTAAAAAAACAAATTGATTTCCAATTTTATTTTTATACCTTTCACAACTTAAATGAACTCATAACAAAAAGCATCAATCCAGAGGCAAAAGTGCTGAGGAAAAACTGGCATGCATAGGAGAACAAAACTATGAGAGGAACCATCACTCAGCTGTTGTAACCCATCCTCCTCTGGTCAGGACATATTAAAAAGATTTATCTGCACTGCTAGCTGTATGATTAATTGATAAGGACGGCAGTGAACTGCTTCAAGTCAGAACAAATATAACGAAAAGAAGCTGTTCTGTGTGACCACAAGGGGGCTGTGCAGAAGGCCAGCACTGATGCAAATAAATGACTGGATAACATTTAAGAACTTACCATCTGAAGACATCAGTTCATCAATGAGGTTAGAAACACCTGGAGGAAGAAGAAAAAGGCAAGTGTACATTTTCTTCTTGAAAATACAAAAATAACCCTTTTTTTTTTTCATTTTTAAATAACTGCTTTGGAAAAATCGTATATTGTTATAATGGAATCCATGTAACCTTCTCTCTCATCCCTCATTTCTTCCAGCATGGACTGCAGATCCTGACCCCCCATCTCCCTCTGCTGTTCTTCAGGACCACCTAGAGACCCCTGCATCAACAAACACTGACTGACAGGGGACTCAGAGTTGCATTCTTTAAAAAGAAAAAAGGAGAGAAGAAAAATATACAAATAAAATCAGTCATATTCAAATGTTGTATACAATCTGATATACAATAGTTGAAAAGTTTGGGATCGGTAAGACTTTTTTGAACCCAAACTTTTGAACAGTAGTGTATATGGATGTATAATCATAAATAGAGTGGTTGGACAAAATAATGTGAACACCCATTATTATATATAGGGGTTAATATATACACAATGTTTGTTTTTCACTGTAGCCTGCACAAATGATTTTTTATTTATCTTTTCATCTATATTCTCTAATTTGTAAATCAGAGTAGTATTCGTTGTGTTCAGCAGTGTTTAGTACAAGTGAAATGGGTGATTTGTCAGACTTCCAAAAACAACAAATCATGGAAGCCTGTGTACCAGAAGCATCTGCAAACTTAATGGGCCAATTATTTTTGCATTTTAAGAAAATCAGTCTTTACCATTTTGACTGTGTACACAAAACATAGCAAGACTTCATCAGTGAAGAATAGTTGTGGAAAACTAAAAGTGAATGATAGGGACCATCAAACACTAAAAGCACTGTGTCCAAAACACAGAATTACTGCTACAAAGTGACAGCAAACCACAATATTCACCTCAAAGACCGTGTCTCCACAAAAAACCCACCACAGATAGTTTCACAAAACCAGCATCCACCAAAGAGTGTTGTATGAATCAATTCTAAGAAGGTTGGAAGCTGTATTAAAGACAAATAGTGGCAAACACCTTTAAAAATAAGTATTGTCTATTATTTCCTAGGTGTTCACATTATTTTGTTCAACTCCTGTATATAAATGTCATATATATTTAAGGATGATGTATGTAATTTTTTCATTGATGAAAAATGTTCTCCTATCCTATTTTAATATGCAGAGAGAATAATGACTGGTGCTACAAATATCAATCACACCTTAAGGAACAGGGGCATGTTTGAATAAAAGCAGTACCCATGTGCATGTCGGGGGACGTGGAGGACTGTGTGAGTTGGTGCTCTGCAGCGGGGCTTTTGAGCGGCCCACGCTTCAGGTCACAGAACTCCGCTGAAGAAATGGGGAATCTCTGCACCCCTGCTGGAGTACTAGGAGGAGTCGGCATGGCATAAATGTCATCTACAGGTGGGACGGGGACAACAACAGGCTTGGAGCAGCTCGTCTCTCTGTTTATCAGCATCACCTGGATGGGAGCCGAGTGACTTCGCAAGTTCACTTGGTACTTTTTCTGACCATTGTGGCCCTGAATCAACAAAAAAAGGCATGGAGATTATGAACAACCAAAAAATGCAAACAAAAGCAAATGAACACTTAAAAATATATGCATAAATGTAAAATTCACTCAAATTATTCTCAAGGATAAATGGCGAATAAGCTCAAGGTTGGTGTAACGTACCATCTCAGGCACTGGAACCTCCAGTTGTGTTCCTGATGGTGCCATGACAGCTAAAAGAGTATCCCCACTGAAAGCATCACATATGTCCTCATGTGTCACGTAGCTGAATGTATACAATGCTAAGGAACGTGTACCGAGTGATAATGCAATGTCTCCTCAACCTTTTGTATATTTTTCACATTGAAATGGACCCCATGATACAGAGTCATTATATGAGGTGGGAGGAAAAACTATATTTCAGTGCTTTTGCAAGCAAACCCAAAGTTTTTCAGGGAAATGCGATATTTTTTCAAGAGCAAGCAAAAGCATTAAAATATGAGATGGAAAAAACTAAAATTCAGTGGTTTTATGACAGCTAAAAGAGTATCCCCACCGAATGCATCACATATGTCCTCATGCGTCACGTAGCTGTATGTATACAATGCTAAGGAACATGTACCAAGTGATAATGCAATCCATCTTGAATCCTTTTGTAAATTTTTCCACATAGAAATGTACCCATGATACAGAGACAACATTACATGAGATGGGAGAAAAAAAACTATATTTCAGTATTTTGGTTGTTCATAATCTCCCAAGTAAACCCAAAATTTTTCAGGGGAACGCAATATTTTTTCGAGAGCAAGCAAAACCATTAAAATATGAGATGGAAAAAATTATAATTCAGTGCTTTTGCATTCTCCTGAGAAACATGCATTTATTTGCAAAAACACAAACTGAGGATTGACAAAATATGAGATGAGGAAAAACTGTATTTCAATGGTTTTGCAATCGCAAGCAAAGTTTCTCGGGTGAATGCTTTCTTTTTTTATTGAGAGCGAGAGCGAGAGAGAGAGAGAGAGAGAGAGAGAATGCAAAACATCAAAACATGAGATGAAGAAAAATTGTAATTCATTGCTTTTGTGTTCTCCCAAGAATATTTGCAACTGAAAGCAATGCTCAATGCTGTTGTGTTCTATCAAACATGTATTTTCTCAAGGGGAGGCAATATTTTTTTCCAGAGAAGGCAAAAGGATTGATATATAATTTTTTATATTTTTTCCATCATCATGTTCCAACCCTCTACATTGCGAGTAAATCACTCGCATATGCGACTAAATCTTCACTCTGGCGACTAAATGATGTCTAATATTAGCCAATGGCTAATAAATTCTCAGATTTTACTCGCCAGTGTGTGAGTTGGAGGCTAAGTATTAAGTTTAGCACAGACATTTTCACTCGCCGAAGAACTGCCGGTTTCTCCGGTAGTAGGTGAAACTAATGCGCAAACGGCAATCTCATTGGCTGGCGCTCACCTATTATCTAAAATGACTAATATGCATTCATTCATGGTTATCAAGTTTTAATTCTAATTCCTAAAGTTCTAACATTAAATAATATTGATTATCGTATTATAATGCTTGACTGACTGGTGTTAAGAGTGTACTTTCAGATATTTAAAAAAAACTGGCATTTTACAAACACACACATACATGCATTCTTGTCTTAGGACAACGTTGATTAACTTTATTAAATTTACTAAATTAACTTTTGATCCACTTCAAATGTTGACTACTATATGTGTGTGTGTGTGTGTATGTATATATATATATATGTCTGGCGAGTAAACTAAAAAATGTACTAGCCAATGGCGATTCAATTGCCACGGTGTCCGTAGAGGGTTGTGTTCCCTTAAGAGGCTCTGTTCCATGACATTATAAGTTTTGAGATAAAAGGCTGAACTTTGCATAAACCACTTTAATCCAAAGAGGAATAACTGGTGGGGTAAGACTTAGGAAACTCTAGCATGAACCAGCAATAGACTAGAGACTGGAAAAACTGGACTGGGGCCACTGAAACACCCAACAATAACACCTCACAGTCAAAGAAGGACAGGTTATAGCACTCAGTATGTAATTAGGTGCACTCCTTTGACAATGGCATTTTTCTGGGACTGTTAATTACCAGGGGAACCAACCAAAAAATGGAAAAATATCAGACGAGAATAAAGACAAAACAACTTTTTCTGGCTGATACTCTGCGAGTAAGGATATCTGCAGCTGGAGGGGTCTTCATTCAGGTGTTTGATGCTTTGTTGCAGACATGCTTTCTGCATGTTCAGTTCTCTCTCTTGAATCTCCAGATCAGCAATATTTGCCTTGAGAAGTTCTACCTCCTCAAGAACTTCCTGAGGCTGGCAGCCTGAACTCTCCCCTCTAATTAAGACAAGCAACTGCTTTAGAGAATGACACAACTCAAGCATATTACATTAAGTATGCGAAGAATGCACACAACATTACAATATGCATATAAAATGTTAGCGAAACATTTGATAGCACATTGATAACTTCCCTACTCTTTGTACTCACTTCCACTGAATGGTGTTTTTGGTCTTCTTTTCAATGAGCCCAATGCCTTCCAGAACATTGGTGATATCGTAGATTCTCCTCTTCTGTTTGACTGCCAAACTGTCTGCAGCCTATGAAAATAATCACAATGTTATTTTCAGAGACCATCCAATCAGATAAGAGGAACTGGCTATTTAGGGGACCAAACAATAGCTTGGTTTGATATATAGATTGAAAATGGGTTTAGATAACTTAGTAGCTCTCGACCGTTATCAGTAGAGTTTATCATGAGTAAGTGTGCCATGATGAGGAGCATGGGCAGGTGTGCTAGCACTGGCCACACCGACCTCATGCACCGAAATTCACATAATATCTCCATTGTCTGTCCTTGCATGACAGCTGATGGGAATATAATGGAAAGTAACAAAATGAGGCACATTCCAATTTGTTGTCCCATTATGTTTTTAAAGCAGAGGCACATATCCTCAAATATTTTTTTTAAATAACTGAATAAATTAAATAAAAAAAATTGTAATAAAACAAAAAAGTAATATTTTTAAAATAACTGAATTACTAAATGACGATGATGATGATGATGATGCAACACTGTTTCATTACAAATATTCAATAGTAGTAACGTTTTAAATAACTGAATAAATTAAATAAAAAAAAATAGTAATAAAACAAAAAATAATTAATAGTAATAAAACAAAAAAGTAATATTTTTAAAATAACTGAATTACTAAATGACGATGATGATGATGATGATGCAACACTGTTTCATTACAAATCTATTCAATAGTATTCAATAGTAGTAACAGCTGGTTATGTTACTGCATGAAAAAAGATCTAATATTTTATTTAATATGTGGAAAGAAGTATATCAATAAATAAACAAACAATAAATAAATAGGTTTTCAAAAATAAGTAAATAAATAAATTGAAATAAAAATAAAGCCATTTTTAAATTATTAACTAATTACTCAATAATAATAATAATAATGATAATAATAATAATAATAATAATAATATTAATGCAACTATGTTACCGCACAAATCTACCACATTACAAAAGAAATGAAAACGTTCCTTAAATTAGGACAGCCCAAAATATCTTTTTTATTATTATTTTTAGTAATTTACAGCATTTCTGTATACAAATAATCTATAAATAATTTTTACATAAAATGTATTTTGCATTCAATGGTAGTAGTGTTACTGCATGAAAAAAATATCACATTTTATTTAATGTGTGGAAATTACACGTCTATGAATAACTACACACTAACAATAAATATACAAGGTTAATATATATATATATATATATTTCAAACCTCTCATTTAAAACTATTTCTGGATGTTAAGCACCATTTACTGAAAGAAAAAAGTTGAAGGCCCTATTTTGCTCCACGTTAACGGAAAATAGCAGGTGATTAGACTGAATAATGTCTCCAGTGGATTCACATAGTGCGTCTCTGCTGCCTCAAGCGTCAGGTAACAAACACCTGCCGTGAGAGAATCCCACGGGTTTCTGTTCAAAATCTCCTCTGTCACAATAACACGCCATTTCTATTCGCCCATTAAAACTTTTAATTAACTACGAGCCAGACACGTATTTCTGTATATATCTAATTGAGAGTAAAAGCCTCACAGGACAGCGAAAGTCCACTCAGGTAACTTACGAACAGTTTCTTTGTGTAACTCTTGACAGACGTCCTCGCAGAACAATCTGTCGAGTTTCATTCATTCATTCCGCCGCTTGTAAATGTATTTTAACCCACCACTTTGAGATCAAGCACTCCATCTTTGGCCTCTTGAAGCAGAGTAACGAACTTGACCGTGAGGAGACCCAAACTCTTCTCATGGCGACTGGACCCGTTCGGTGTCGTGTGAGGAAAACTCGCGCTGTTCGACTCAGCCATACCATCCAAACGCCCGGTGTTTTTAGGGATGTAATTCAAAAACTCCCTCTTTGTCTCGTTCAGAGGTATGGAGGTCTACCTCAGTTTTGTTAGTGACGGTGAGGGGGAGCAACAATCATCTCTTGCACTTATTTACCTCAGGCTACACTTCTACCGATGGCTCGAGGGTTTTTAAATGAGAGGAAATGACGTTGGATTACCGTTACTATGACAACGTCTCTGCTTGAGCGTTCGACTTCGGACAAGAGGTACATGCAACTGAAATGCTTTGAGAACTCGACACACTTTTACATTTTAATATAATCCTCCAAAATTACACAACAAACAGCGTAACAAGGAGTTAATAATTTAATTATACTATATTTATTATATTTTTATATTATATTTATATTATATTATATTCATATTATATTTTTGTTTTCATTTAAATGTTTTAGTTTTGAAATGTTGTTGTATGCATTTGTCATTTTTATTTAATTTCTTTTATTTTCTTAAATGTGTGTATCTATATAGTATTTATAGAGTTTTAGCTTTTAGTTTTAATTACTTTTTCTTATTTGTAAGTCGCTTTGGATAAAAGCGTCTGCTAAATGACAAAGTAAAGTAAAGTAAAGTAAATTATACAATTTAAACAAACAAAAAAAGCCTATGGTATATTAAAAAGTGCAGTATATATTGCTTTATGCTCAAGGTACAAACGTTTTAGAAAAAAAGATACATATATATAATTTATGAATGATTTTGTAATTTAAAAAAAAGAAGTTTCACAGTTTCTGCGATTTTCTATATAATTTGAAGCATAAAGCCAAAAAAACAGTAGGCAATACAGTAGGCTAGACACTCAGAAGTACAATAATTTCAGGATATGTTCTCAGCCAGACTGAGAGACATTGACATAAGTCTTGAAAAAGGCATCTTCCAAGTTTTTGTCTTTGGTTTGTAATGGATAGGAGGTTAGAAGTCTTTCAGCACTTGTGTGAGGCGTCTCATTTTCTCCTCCATTACCCTTTTATTACTCTCAGTTTCCTCAAGCAGCTGGCGCATTTCCTCCTCCACCTGGAGTACCTGTGGTTAAACAAAATAAACAAATAAATGTGTTCTTGAGAAAGCATTCTCCCAGTCAATCATCCAATTCATCAAGACATTAAATTAAAAACAACTCATTCTAGTCTGCTCACTTTGGTCTAGCAGTTTGCCTGCATGTACCAACACTAGCAATATAAATGACAATACAGTGAACCAATACATATAAATCAATACTTTAGTGGCAGTAATACCTTCTGGTTGGCCTTTTCTATTTGTTTCTGTTTGTCATTCGCAAGACTAAGTATTTCAGCTTGATGGGAAGCTTGCAGAGATTCCAGTTGTCTACGGAAGGCATCATCCACACTGTGAAGCTTCTCCACTGCCGCTCTAAAAAAAAAAAAAAAGTTTCAAATGTATACTACTGTATACTGTATATACTTCATTAGCCAAATTAGGGCCTGCTGCCCATCTCATACCGGTGTGCTTGTGAAGCCTTGTCTTTTTCCTCTATCAGTGCTCTCTCTTTGGAATCAAAACCCTCCTTCATTCGCTTCACCTGGCTTTCAAGCCTGTTCAACAGTTCTGCCTTTTCCTGCCATTTTTTACTTGAGGCCCTGCAAAATTAAAAATATTTAACATATTACTAAGCAACTGTGTGATGCTGTGAGACATCAGCATACACCCTTTCAAACAATGACATACTGTCCATAATAATAAGTTAGGGTGAAAGCTTGGAATCATGAGATGTTTGCAGTTTAACCAGTGTTATTCCATACCTGTATGTCTCTTTAACCTCATCAAGCTCCGCCTCCTTATCAAGGAGCTGTTGTTTCAGCTCCTCCTTCCTGATGCTGAGCTGCTCCACTGTGTCTCTGAGCTCCACTGCAGAGGCCATTTCCTCCTCCAGCTGCTGCTTCAGCTTTCGCTGGTCCTGCACATTCTCATAACGAAGTTTACGGATCTGCTCATCTCGCTCCAGCAATGCCTATAGAAGCAACATGTCAGAGAAAAGTGAGCCAGGCGATGAAAACTGACACTATCACACATGAGATTTTTCTCTTAGACTATTTTATTTTGTACTTAATGCATTAAATTAGCAGATGTAATTACATATTTTTGATAGATTTGAACTACAATAAATATTCACTTTATTTATTTCTATCTAATTTATATCTTAGTTTATAGTGTTTTTTGAGTAAGTAGGACTTTACCTCTTTTAGTTTACGAATAGTCTCTGTCTGGTCATCAACAATCTTAGCTTTAATCCTGAGTGCATCATTGTCTCTCTCGTTCTGCTTCTTCTGCGATTCCAGTTCGCCTAACAAAACCTCAATTCTGGCCTCCAGTCGACCACGGTCCTGCGCTAAGGATGCACCTAAATAAATGGACAAATACAAAAATTAGCTATGTTTGGGTTATACTTTCTTAAAGTTTTCTTGAAGTTACTGAAGTACCTTGCTGTGTAAGTTCTTGGCCCCAGATCTTCCTCTCTGCCCGTAGTCCATCTATGACAGACTCTTGAGCAGTAAGCTGGGAGAGCAGCTTGGACTTGTCCTTTTTCAGTAGCTCCACCTGTAGGTTAAGTCGTTTATCGTCCTCTAACCTGGATTCCAATGAGTGTACACGGGTCTAGCATACAAAAACGGAGCACAATGTGATTTATAAAGCATTACTTAAGAAGTTATCGAAATCTGATATGTGATGATTTGACACAAATCCACAAAGGACACAACAAAATCAATAACTTTTTGTAAGTAAAATCTTTTGGTCATACCTTGAACTCAGCGGCGGCTTCTCGCTTGGCTTTGAGGAGCTCAGCAATGCGTGTTTTCTGTTCTTTCACCATAGCTGTGAGCTCCTGCACCAAAGAGGCTGACTCCTTCTCTTTCTGCTGAGACAGGCTGAGACTTGACTTCACGTCTAAGAGTTCAGCAGATACCTGATCAAACCCTTCCTTTACCTACAAATCACAAACACACACACATGCACACACACAGTAAGGGTAACCAGTCTGAAAAATCTGGGGCTCGTGTCATTAACATTTTTGACATTTCAGGCAGTATTGTTAACTAAAACTATTCAACATTTTTGTTAACTGAAATACAGCTGAACAAAAATATAAATGTTACATAAAAAAACTCTGAAATAATTTTAAATTGAAGTACTAAACTTACTACTAACAGAAAAAAACTGAAATAAAAATAAAAACTATTCAGAAAAAATTAGGGAAATAATGTATGACAAAAGAACATAGAAAATAAAATATAAAAATATAAAATTATTCAAAATATTACTAAAAGCTATAATAGTACATACATAATACTAAAACAGCACTGATTTTAAATACTGCACTGACAATCACATCATTACTGTTGTTTATTTCTGTTTTCTCAAAGCCGATACATTTAACTTAAAGTTTTACAAATAAGTGTTCTCCTCCTCATTTGGTTCAAATTTAGCATCGATCCAAGCAAAAATGTAAATTGTTTTTTTTAGACTAAAAATGTTACCCCACAATTTAGATTTACCTCTGAGAAACGCTTTGCCTCAATGGTGAGAGCCATGCGAAATTCATCCTCTAGAGCAGCATACTGTCTCCTAGCATCAGAAAACTTCTGTTCCAAATCAGTCTGTTTCTGAGCAAATCTCTGCTCTATCGCCACCACCTCTTTGGCTACAGCCTCCTTAAACTCAGTCCCACCAGGAAGCAGCCGCGTTGCAAGCTCTTTCCTGTCCCACAAAGTCAAACAGGTGAAAGATGAAACAGTTGAAATTTCCTGTTTGTAAACTGAACCATTTTCAGGCAGTCACTCTTTGTATAAAATGATCATGGACACGATTCCATGTGGTGCTTGTGTACCTGTGCATCTCCTCCCTAGAAGTCAACAGTTCATGCAACTGCTGCATCTTCTCTTTGTGCTGTCGAGCCGATGCACGGATTATTTCAACTTCCCTTTTTAAGGCAGATGCTTTATTCTCTAACTCCCAAGTCCTCTTCATCTGAAATAATATAGCAGGTCATTCACTTTAAATGTTATATAGAAAACAATTTTATTTTGAAGAGTGTTTTTCACTTTATAAGTAGATAACTGCTCAAGTAGCAGCTTTCTCATGGCAGCCGTTCAAACACATGCAAAAGTCAGGTGTAAATATTCCTCTAACACAATTCAAAGGATTCAAATGTCAAAAAGGAATTGAAACATGTTTGCAATTCAGCCATATGCCTGTATATTTATCTGGGAACTGCTTCTGGAACCATCCCACAGAAAATGCCCTTTAGATGACTACCAGTATTTCACTGTCTAAGCATTCTTGTAAGTAGGAATAGTTCTTGTCAGCTCAGTGAAGACTGGATGTATGGTTCAGACATGAACCTGTGCCACTCTTTACAGTATACTGGAGCACTCAGTTCATGCTATGGATCCGTCACTACTGAAGATATGGACTGCAAGTGTTCTACCTCTTCTGCACGCTGCTGGACCCTGAGGGCCTCTGCTTTGGTCATGCTGTCCTCCAGACTGCGCAGCGCCTTCTTGTGTTGGTCTTCCCGGTTGTGCACCTGCTCCAGCTGCTCTAACGTAGACCTGTATCTCTCCTCCAACTCCTGCAAACGAGTCTGCAATGCTGCCCGATCAGAGCGCTCTTTTAACAACATCTCCTTCAACCTAAAGGAATAAGACAGATCAGAGCTGCTTTTTCAAAATATCTTGGAAAATTAATTCTTTCACCATGCATATTCATGTACACTACCATTCAAAAGTTTGGAGTTTTGGAGAATTAGAATTTTTAAATGTAATTTATTCCTGTGATGGCAAAGCTGAAATTTGAGCAGCCATTATTCTAGTCTTCAGTATCATGCGATCCTTCAGAAATCATTCTAATATGTTTTGGTGCTCAAGTAACATTTTTTATTATTGTCAATGTTGAAAACAGCTGTGCATTTTTTTTTCAGGATTCTCTGATGAATAAAAAGGTAAAAAGAACAGCATTTATATATTTATATATATATATATATAGGAAATGAGTCAAAAATAATTTTTTTAACCAAATACAATACAGAATATCTGAATGACACAAAGGCACAGCATGTTGCCACTACATACTAGGCTACATCTCCGATACATTCCACAATAGTAATAAATTAATAACTCACTAAAACTTCTGTTTAATGACAATTAATACATGACACTATTACATTAATTTACATTCACACACA